ACTTAAGCCTTCAAGGTTGATGGGTTTGTTTGAAAGAGCCTGTTCTCATTTGGTCACAACTATGACATTGTCGTGACACATGGTCACTATCTTGTCAGCTAGAAACCCGAAGAACTCAGTCTTGTTGTCGCTGTCTTGCAGAAAGCTTTTCCAGTTGGATGGTAGTTTTGTTTTGTCTGTCACTCTACGTCGATCTCCCTTACCTCTCCTTGTTTCAGCCTTCAGACTTGAAGTCCAGTAGACATCAAAACCGATGCCTGTTCGCTCATACGCTTTTGATGACTATGTCTGGATCGTTGGAACTACTTCTTGGACAGCATACTCATCAAAGGTCTTTGATGTCTTTGGAGACAATGAATACACGAGAGAGGAAACATCAAAGAAAGGGTTGTGTGTCAGGAGGAGAAATGGTAGCTTCCAGAATGTTTACAAGCTTAGACTTCTGACCAGAGTTGAGTTTCTCTGTGTGATTCAGCGCTGCAGGGAAACACTGATTTTCATGCTTAAAGATTGTATGTCTGCTCCATGCTCAATGATACATACAAATTGAAGCAAAGCTGGAGGCAGGGAATCATACACTGAAGTCTTGGGTGGTCGGGTGGCGCAGTGGTAACACACTCGCTTTTCACCAAGCCGTCCGGGGTTTGATTCCCGGAACGGACGTGAAAAGGTAAGGGGTCACCTGCTCGACCACGTGGGTTTTCCCCGGGTACTCCGGTTTCCTCGCGCGCTTACATCCGGGCCAACAAGAGTGATTAGTATAAGTTGATATAACTTGTTTCGCAATTGTTGTAAAATAAATAAAAAATATATATTTACCCTGAAGTCTCAAACATATTGCCCTCAAACTTAGACTTGTGTTCGACCATGTGCCTGCGCAATATCTTCGTAGCTTTGGCGACAATGATGGCATGAGTATAGGATGATGCTTCTGACAAGACTGGACCAACATCTTTTTCAATGCCAGAAGTATATCTCGCCCTTTTGTTGTAGGCTGCAAGTCCTGGTATCTCAGCCAAAAGCCTCTCTTTTCATCGGGTCGAGTTCACATCAGGTATGTCTTTCCAAAACAGCTCAAGTCTCTCCCTGTAAAGACTTACCAATTTTGTAGGTCGCAACACAATAGGCTCACTGATTATCAAGTAAGGTTATGCTTAATTAATAGATAAAATTCATTTAGTCACATTGATATACTAATGTCAACAATAAAATTTTAATCCTATTTATGATTGTAATAGTGAATCAATTTGCACATTTTAGTACTAAAATAAACTTATTTATAACAAACAATAAACCACTAAATGAAGCTGAATTAGCACTGACTCGTTTATCTATGACAATACATTATCCACTTTATCTAGACATTATGTCGTTTTGCAACCTTTGATAGTCAAGTACTAGATAAATCTCTATTAGAAATCAGAAAACACTCTGTTATGGTGATAACTTGGAATACACTTCGTTGTTGGTGATCTGGTTCATGGCCTGTTTGGCTACAACATTGGTTGGGTCTGAGGTGTGGTTGTGTAGATTTCTTCCAGAGTTATCTGGTATGTTGTCTACTGTTGAGAGGGAAGCTGAACAGCTTGAGGTCGAACATCTTCAGAAGGTCCTGTTGCCGTTCCTTCGAATCTGTCTGTAGATGAATCCATTATGCGAAATGTCCTGTCCGCCTCTTCTGTTGGTGATGAACTTAACGTTGATCTGAGCGTTAGCCATCCTGTACTTGTATCAAACCACACAGATAATAATATCACTCAAATTAAACACACTTAAGACTAAGTTGAAAAAAGTATAAGGTTAACTAATATATATGACAAAAGTTATGATAATTTACACTTAGCTGAAAAAAGAACAATGTGTGACAAAAGTTAAGCAATAATTTAAGCATTGAAAAATTAATGCTTAAAAGTGCATATTGAAATACGATAATTCCCCAAAATGCACTTGGATTTTATACATTTCCCATTGAACAGCTTGGGATTATAACAGTATATAACAAATATATTTAATTCCTTTATTTTACAGTTATTAACTGTTTTCTGAACAGTTATCAGAACTTGCTTATCTGATTTACCTGTACAAGTTACCTGTACAAGTTATTCTACAAGTTACCTGTACAAGTTACCTGTTACCTGTACAAGTTACCTGTACAGGTTACTGTGCAAGTTACCTGTACAAGTTACCTGTACAACGGCTGTATCCCGGAACTCATACATATTATAAATGTGTAACTGGATCTTTGTTTTTTACAGAGATTATAGTCTATATCATTAATGTGAGTTCGGTTTACCTGTGTTTTTACCTGTGGTTCTCACCTGTACATGTATAAAAAAAAGGGAAATAAAATAATAAAAGACATAATATAATAAAAAAAATATGGTGACATAATGTACATGTAATTATTATGCAATTTTTAATGATGTTATATTATTTTTGTTGTGTATTCCAAAATAATATAAACTATTGTGATATCATTTCCACTACATATTTTTTTATAATATTTGGAGGTTCAGATGATGTTTTTCCAGTGAAATGTTTTCATATGAAAACTGTTCACTTATCTTAGTTCAATATTTTAAAACATGATGAACTGTGTTAATACTGTGCTAACAGAGATCAAGTTGCGTATGATATGACACCTTGAGGTGAGTATACAAGCTATATATTTATCTATATAAGATTCAAAATGAATCCCCAATTCCATCATTCGTTAATAGGTTCTGATACTTAACTGATATTGTTAGAAATCAATCATAGCTTATGCTCAGTTCTGCACCAGATTATAACTCACTATCATCACAACTGACCTCCTATGTAAACATGTTGTCGTAGGCAGAGTTGGTGTTCAGGGAAGACCCCATACTAAGCCGTAATTCTTAAAGTGGATAAAACAATACAATAACGGTTGCTGAGTGCCAGCAGGTGAGGTTTTATAAGTTTGAAATGGCTCACAAAAAAGGGTTTTTTTCCACACCAGGGAACGACTTCGCTGTAGAATTACAATTAAGGAACGAAAGAAAGGTATTCATACTAATTTGTGATACCACTCAAAGATAGTACAAAACACAGCCATGATAACCACGTTTAAGAATAAGATAAAGTACTGACGTCCCCTGCAATGCTGCTTACCCCCACTCTATACCGCCATCCCATCCTCCCCTACACTGCTGTCCTCACTTCCCCTACATCATTGCCTACCCCTCTCTGTACCGCCGTCCCATCCTCCCCTGCACTGTTGTCCTCACTTTCCCTACAATGCTGCTTACCCCCACTCTATACCGCCATCCCATCCTCCCCTACACTGCTGTCCTCACTTCCCCTACATCATTGCCTACCCCTCTCTATACCGCCGTCCCATCCTCCCCTGCGCTGTTGTCTTCACTTCCCCTACATTGCTGCCTACCTCTCTCTTTACTGCCGTTCCATCCTCCCCTGCGCTGTTGTCCTCACTTCCCCTACATTGCTGCCTACCCCTCTCTATACCGCCGTCCCATTCTCCCCTGCGCTGTTGTCCTCACTTCCCCTACATTATTGCCTACCCCTCTCTATTCCGCCGTCCCATTCTCCCCTACACTGCTGTCCTCACTTCTCCTACATTGCTGCCTACCCCTTTCTATACTGCCGTCCCATTCTCCCCTACACTGCTGTCCTCACTTCCCCTATATTGCTGCCTACCCCTCTCTATTCCGCCGTCCCATCCTCCCCTACACTGCTGTCCTCACCTCCCCTACGTTGCTGCCTACCCCTCTCTTTATTGCCGTCCCACTCCGCTATACTGCTGTCCTCACTTCCCCTATATTGCTGCCTACCCCTCTCTATACCGCCGTCCCACCCTCCCCTACACTGCTGTCCTCACATTTCCTACATTGTTATCCACCCCTGTCTATACCGCGAGTGTTACAACTTTGTCAAACTGAGTAAGGATATCGCGAATGTTACAACTTTGTCAAACTGAGGAAGGACGTCGCGAATGTTACAACTTTGTCAACTGAGGAAGGACATCGCGAATGTTACAACTTTGTCAAACTGAGTAAGGACGTCGCGATTGTTACAACTTTGTCAACTGAGGAAGGACATCGCGAATGTTACAACTTTGTCAAATTGAGGAAGGACATCGCGAATGTTACAACTTTGTCAAACTGCAAGGAAGAATGTCGCGAATGTTACAACTTTGTCAACTGAGGAAGGACGATGCGAATGTTACAGATCCATAAATCTGAGGAAGGACGAAACGAATGTTACAACTTGTCAAAATGAGAAAGGACAGTACGAATGTTACATCTTTGTCAAACTGATGAAGGACGGCGCGAATGTTATAGTCCTATGATAGACTGATAACATGTTATAGTCCTATGATAGATTGGTAACAGATTTTAATCTTTTCTTTGTGTCAAAATTTCTAACATTTTTCTTGTTTGAAATTGCTTATTTTTAATATTGCAATATTTTGATACATAACTGATATCATAGTTTAGAGAAGTTCCTACTAATCTAAAAATAATACCATTTCATAGTGTTTGTTATTTCTTCGATTTTTGTTTTTAAGGCTATGTATAGTGGATCCTGTCGTACACCCATGATTCATGGAATATTACAGGCCTTACTGGCATTAAGGATTTTAAGTGCATTTTATTAGTTGTCCTTCAAGATACTGTAAGTAAAACACAGTTAAGTTGGAATTGGTTCGGTGGATTTTTATTTTATTTCTGAAAAATATCTGAAAAAAACGGCGAGGAAAAAAATACTCAAAAAGCAGGGACATGTCTTCTTCAAGTTTATATTTAAACTGTTAACAGGAAGCGATCATTTTTCTTGTTTATTTTCCATAACATGAAAAGTGATGTTTTGTGAAAAGTTGCCATAGTAGTCTTCACAATAATTTACAATCTCTTGGACTTCGTTGTTGTCCGCTGTCGTTTGTACGTGGCGACGCCATTAATTATATCTACTACACATTTTAAACGTCTGAGAGACCGTGATCAATTCCGGTAAACAAGATGGCGAACATCGACGTGGAAGATGAAAACATTTTGACTTCTATGTTTAAAGACTCATTTCCAGGTCGATACTTGCATCTAATTGCTCAAGCATGTATAGTTTGGACTTACATTTTCTCTAAACACACCGTCCGATCATTTCGACATACAAAACTTGTTATTGACACATGTTACTTGTGCAAGTTTTAGTACCATGAAGTTGGAACTCCTTGAAAAGTCGAGAGAGCTGATCGATATTATGAAAAAAAGGAGCGTTCGCTTCTATTATAAACAGATTCTTCAATGATTTATACAAAAGTTTGAAATGAAATACAAATGTACATCCGATTCCTCAGTTATTACTTCTCGCATGTTCCGAGGAGAATGAGGCTTGAATGCCCACTGGTTCAACACATTTTATAAATATTTCATCAAAATGCAATTTATAGTTGTTGACAGTCGAATCGTATGATGTACACGAAGAACTATATATGCGTCACACTCATTCATCAAACCACTTACATTTATCGCACTATTATTGGTTCGATATGAGAATTGATGGGAGTACACAGCCTCAGTCGATATTTATTTTTGTACTCTATAAATTCTCATACTGGACCAATAATATTGCAGTAATTGTTTTATAACATTTCATTTCAAATTTGTTAACTATCCATCTCATATTTAACAAGCTTTACAGAACTCTAGCAGATCCCATTAAACACTTTAATAATTATTATGTGCAGTTGATGAAAATGCAGAATAAAAACAAAAAATGTAATAACATATCTTCAAATATTTAATAAAGTTAGTGACATAACAAGATAAAATGTTAATATGATCATAATGCATAGTCTACCTAGTTTCAGTTTCATATATGAAAAAAATGACTAAGTTATGACTCTTTTACCATAGTGAGAGTGACAGTTTGGCACACATGTGAACCATGTACATTTTATACAATAGCATTTATTATAAGGTGTCATCAGACTGTGTCATATTGAAAATACTAAATAAGGTTAGCAATATCAGGAGATATTTCATAAATATGACCATAATACACCCATATACCAAGTTTCATGTTGATATTAGTAAAGAATTATTAAGGTGAAAGTTGAATTTTCCCTCGATCATCAGCATTAAGTGTAGATTTATCTTGTATACTTGTAATGATGAACAGTTATTCATTTCTTGTCATTGTCATATTCTTTCATGTTTGTTTTTCATAGAAAGCTGGAATGACAACCCAGAGTTCGTGCAGTATTTGTCAGAACTGAGCTCATATGGAGTGGACAAACTAGGTATAAGTATCTATGAAATATATAAAAGTAGTTGAAATAAATTAAACTTTACAAAGAGTTTCATGATGTAATTTTATTGACTTAAACCTGTAAAATTTTGCAATAGTAAGTTGGAATGATCAATGAGATGGGTTTAGAGTTATGTATGTTGAGGTATTGGTGTTGAAATACAAACATTTTAATTAAACTTTCTTATTAGCTCTACTGGTATAATTTTTTTGTATAAGAAGTCTGTATATTATGAACTGTCTTATGATAACCAATTAATTTCATGCCAAATTATATAATACTTAAATTTTGATTAACAGTAGTGATGCAAGACTTACATCCTTGAATTTGCTTTTCAGCTCAGGAGCCTGATCGTTTGTCTGAAGCAAAGTCACAGATTCTACAAGAAACTCAGCACCTGGCTTTTCAACACTACAAAACATTTATCCAGACAGCAGAGTGCTCCCGTGAAATATTTGAAGATGTAAAATTAGATAAATTGAGGAATTTGGTAAACATACAGAAATCGTTGATGCTACTCCTGAATATATTACATTCTGGTGAGGTGAAAGAAGAACCTCTCCACAGTATACAAAAGATCTTGTGTTATCAGCACCCTTTTTGGTAATAATGCAGATGTATTAATCACAGATATAGAATCTAACAGCAGTTATCACCTAAATACTTGTGTCATCTTGGTGTTGTCTTATTTGCAAAAAAGTTGTTTGATTGTTTTCATTACCTTTTTAGATGCATTAAGTTTTTTTCTCATTACAGTTTCAAATCATAGAAAAGCATGTTGGTGATATGTTGCATAAACTCCCAGACTTTTCAGAAGAATGTGAGAGAGTTATGAAACAGGCTGAGGACATCAATGCTAGGTAAAACATCATTTATTTAAATCTATCTAGGAATCGATTATATACAGGAATCAGCATTTGAAAAAAATTTTTAAAACTGACTACTTATAATTACATACTACCAATCTTTAACACCAACATGTTAACCCATGTGTGATATCTTTCAAATCATAGGTGCTTTTTGCTATTTTCTGTGTTTGAAATCATATCAGACATTTTTAATTGTATGAAATTGAAATACAAAAATCTCTCGCAGAAAATTGTTACTTTAGCTGAGCTCCTCAGAAATTGGTCACATTTAGGAAATATTGATCTCTATTGGAAATATTGATGAAATCATCAAGTGAATATTACATATCACAGAATGTCATGTTTGTAGTCAAATGGGTAAGGGTTAAAAAAAGTAATTTGTATGGCCATAATGCATTGTCCAGTGAATACTTCAACACTTTGTTGAATATTATATATTAATTTTATAATTTTTTGTAATAGCCAATGAGTAAATACCCTGACTCTCCAGCATCATACCAAGCTGCTTGAGGTCCTAGAAATGCCACATGCTTTTACGTTATATATAAATTTACACCATATGTTGGGGTCCTTCAGCATCGCACCCATCTGCTAGAAGCCTAGAATTTCCAGATGATGTGTCTATGTTATATATATGTTTATGACCTTTTGTTGTAGCCGGCGGATGAATACTCTGACCCTACAGCGTCACACCCAGCTGCTGGAGGTCCTAGAAATGCCACAGCTCATGGATACCTGTGTGAGAAACAGTTATTATGAGGAGGCACTGGAACTGGCGGCCCATGTCAAAAGGCTTGAGAAAAAACACGCTAACATTCCTGTTATTGGTGTTAGTATGTTGGTATTTTTTGGCTGTGGCGTTGCAGTGATATGTTTGATTATTAAACAGAGTCCAATGGATAACAGCAGGATGTAATGTTACTGCAAATAGATTTAGTGATATTCATTGATGGTAAAGCACTAATACTGGTTTCATTTTATGAAAAATTTTATTGTTTCTGATAATTTACATTTTATTCTTTTTCTAAAATGCATAACAAATGCACATCTTGTATTTTAAAGAATATTGTGTCTGAGGTGAAGAACTCTGCTCAGTTAATGCTAAACCAGCTGATCCAGCAGCTGAGAACAAATGTCCAGCTCCCGGCTTGTCTCCGTGTCATTGGCTACCTCCGCAGGATGGATGTTTTTACTGAGGCAGAGCTCCGCATCAAGTTTCTGCAGGTTTGTCTTAATGATAAATGAATGAAGATTTTCTGAAGATCATTTTGTAGAGTCAGTTGTGATTATCTATGTATCGTTTTGGTTTTTGTTGCAGGCTCGGGACTCCTGGTTCCAGGGTATACTAGAGGCAATACCAAAGGAAGATCGTAAGTCAACATTTAGTAGGAAAATGTAGGGCAAAGAGGAGGAAAGTTGTACTGTAATGTATAGCTTGGATTCAATAAATAATTCATTTGACCTGAATTATGTATACATTCCCAAATGGAGCTATTCATGTTAAATATTTACCGAACTTCGAAAACAGAACTCCAGGTTTTTTCAACAGATGGGATTCAAACAGTACAATGCATTTTCTAAAACACAAACCATGTATAGAATTTCCTTATATCTGAAGTTTTCTGGAACAGTCAATACTTTACTGGGTAAGCTGTTGTATCAGTATATCTAGAAAACAAACAAGAACGTCATTTTGAGGTTTAATTTCAACTGAAATAGCCTAGTGTCTATGATTGATATTGTTAAATATAATTTTGATGTAATACATTTGCTTGTATTGGTTTGCTGTTTTCTGGCTGGTTTTATTACAACATAGTTCACCAGAGTCAGCCATTAAAGTATTGTCCGTCTCTGTGCAGGGATGGAACCTCACACCTCAGATCTTGACCTGAGAAACACAAACCGCCAAAATGGAACCTAGGTTTGGAATGTCCAACGCTCTATCAATATTACTTTTGTGGCCCTCTGTATGTCCAAAGGATGGGAGAGTGACATCATTCTTATGCAGGAAGTTAGCATTGCCTGCGGGCCTAAAATTTGAAAAACCCAATGAGTGCTAGTTTAACTATGTACAATGTATTTTGTACAGTTATAGCCCTCTTGTTATTTTCAGGATTGTAAATTAGAGGTAGAACAGGCCCCTCTCTGGTTCTACTCACCATGATCTATGCATGCTGAAGGTGATGAAACCCATTTACAGGGCAATAAGTTGCTGATAAGTCCATGCCTAGTTACAAACCAAACTTCTGTCGCATGAAAGAGATGTTTGTGTGCCATTATGTAAATGTATTTTTAATTTCCAGCCTATGTCCACATTACAAAAACGATAGAAGCAAGTCGTGTTCACCTGTTTGACATCATCACCCAGTATCGTGCCATCTTCTCTGATGAAGATCCTATTCTCTCTACCAATAAGGAAGACTCTGTTAATGAATCTGCACTATTTCACGGATGGGTTGTACAAAAGGTAATCTTCCAATATTTGAAGTTTATATTAGGAACGTAGGAAATGGATTTTTGATAACCTACTTCCTTTCAACCTTGATTTTTTTGACATTTTTTTCCATATCTTCTTTGCTATTGTAATTTCTTTACATTTTTCTTTTTTAGTAACTTTTTTTGTAACATGAATTTTAGTAGTAAATGTTCCTAACACCTAATTTGATACTTGTCATGCCACCAGTGAAGATATCTAGTATGAGAACTTGTAAATGCATGGTATGTATACCAATGTTTATTTCAATTTTACAGATATGACATCAGTCTATATGAATTTTTTCATCATCTAGTAATAAGCCCATGCCCTTTGGTCAAAAGATAATGTGTTTGTTGTCTAAACTTACTGGTACGGTACTTCTTCTCCAATATGACATTTACTGTATATGTCATTCATGCGATTTTTGTCCGTCAAGGTGTCCCAGTTTCTGACTGTCCTTGAGACAAACCTCCATCAAGGTGTGGGTGGACGTCTTGACTCTATACTTGGTCAGTGTATGTACTTCGGACTCTCCTTTAGTCGAGTAGGGGCAGATTTCCGTGGACTCCTGGCCCCAATTTTCCAGAGAGCAGCTCTCCAAGGCTTCAAAGTGGCTCTGGCAGATTCACTACAAAGGTAAAAGTTGAACTTAGATATCGGTAACCAAATTAGTATGGATGCCATTAAGAATTATTTCTGTACAAATAATCGTGCATGATTTGAATGAAATCTCCTTGTATATTAATACGAAAATCAATCCTATGTGAAATAAGTGAGTGACGTGTCATAAAATTTCACATCCCGAGGGGGAGTGTAATTAGCTGAATTGTATTTCTCTAATAATAATACATGATCTCCAGAGATAGTTAACACAATTCAAAATATAGTCAAAGTGGAAATGAATCTTCTGTAGTTTTATCACTCAACAATAACAAAAAATTGCTGTAAATTTACATATTTTAGTGGTTTTCTTAGCACTTTTCACACTAAAAGTATTTCTCTAAAATATGATTGCACTATCGTAATTATTGGGGATGTGCAAATTTATCATTGCACCTATTTTTCTAAAAGCACCTTTAAGTAAATTTAAGAATGTTCACTGTGGACATGTTTCATGCATTTTCAGCTTTTGAAAGCAGTACGGACTACAACTGTACCAATGAATTCATATTGTATAATCTTGATTTTATAGATTTGAAGCAAATATGCAATCATACAACTTATTAGCAGTGACGTCTACTGTGGGTAGTCTGACATACAGTACTGGTACACAGGTAAAGTCTTAAATATTTTATTTTGTGGCCCTAGCTTAGAGGTGTATCTGTAAAACACATCTACCCCGCCCCAGGTATCTAGGATTTGTTTGGGGATACTTCTCATAGAATTTAATTGATTTGCTTGGAAGAGGCAAGCAGGAAACCAATTCATTGAGAGGAGTGGTTAATTTTCGAGTTTTGGGTCATGTAGATGTTTTACTGGAATCGCCCGTATTGGGTCACCTGGTCTGAAGAGCCAATGGGCTTATGTAACTGGTGCAGTGTCTGTAGTTCGCCAATTTCTAGGTCACCTGAGGCAAAGTCTTGGGTTGACCTATTGTGATCGCCTTTTGTTTGGCATCGTATGTTGTAAACTTTTAACATTTTCAACATCTTCTGGAAAATTCCTAAACTGATTTCAGCAAAATTTTATGAGAACTTTCCATGGCTTAAGATGCACAAATATTGTAAATTACATAGTCCCCAACTTCCATGGGCCTGAGGTGTGGGACAAAAGAGGTCAAATCAATTGAAACTTCAAAATCTTCTCAAATCTCTGGTATGATAGAATCAAGTACTCTTCATGGATGGAATTGTCTTATTGTGGTTTACAAAAATTGTTAATTTCTTAACCCCAGGGTCTTACATTTCCTCTTGGGGAGGGAGTAAAATTTGCTGTAGTTTATATAAGGAAAAATACATTTTTCAGCATAATTTGTTAATTTTCTTTTATAAATAGTTAAACTTTGATATAATTATGAGATGACTGTTTAATGAGAGGCACATATTCACCTCGGCTGACCCCCAGTGGCAGATGGGTGGGGCCAAAAATGGATCATATTGACTGAAATTTCATGTTGTTCTCAATATCCAGATATGGTAGAATCTATTACCGGTAATCTGTTGTTCATGGATGGAATAGTTGATATTGGAAAGTTACATTTTTTAGTGTAATTTCCTTTTTAACAAAATAAATTGTTACTAAATGTAACAAAAAGCATTGCAACTCAAGTGACCATTAAGGCCCTTGGGCCTCTTGTTTGCTCAAAATCGCTACTTGTCATGAATGACTGAAATGATATTGACCAAATTTAGTCAGAAACATCCTTGGGGGAAAAGGGAAACCAAGGTAATATAAATATTAGTTCTCGGGGCCGGAGGGGCAGCCCAAAAAGGGAAAATTTTGCAAGTTCTTTAAAATCCTACTCTTCATGCAGGAATTAACGGATATTATCAAATTTGGTCTAAAGTATTCATGGGTGAAGTGGAATCAGTATTGTATAAATATTTGTCCTGGGGCCTCTTTGGCCAGGAGTGATTGGGCCCAAGAGGGCAAATGGAGCAAATTCATTAAAATCTTACTCCTTAATAATGAATGGATAATGCCCAAATTTGGCCTGAAGCACTCTTTGGTGAAGGGGAACCAATCTTGTATCGATATTAAGTCTTGACTCCCTGGAGGGGGCCAAAACAGGGGAAACAGAGTAAATTTTTTAAAATCCTACTCCTGATGTAGGAATGATTGGTTTGAAGTGTTCTTTGGTGAAGGGAAATAAATTCTGTATAAATGGGAATCCCAGGACTGTAGGTTATGAGGTGTAGGGCCCAATTTGGGAAATTTAAGTTCTTTAAAATCCTTCTTCTGTACAAGGTTATTGTCCAAGTTTAGTCTGGCCACATTTTTATGAAAAGTGAATTTGTCTTCTGTTCAACCAAAAGGGTGGAACCAATAAGGAAATTGTTTCAGAAATTATTCGTCATATTTGAATTTCTTTGTAAATTGATTGAATAGCTGAATAAGTCAGGTGAGGCTCTTGGGCTTCTTCTGTTTAATCAAAATACTGAATAGTCACAGTTGCAAAAATGAAATCTTTATATTGTACTATGTTATCAACTTATCAAATTTGAAAGAAGATATCCATTTAGAGTAAAGATAACTCAATCCAACAGGTCGGGGTGCAGGTTCCTCAAAATTAATTAAGGTAGTCGCTCCGTCTACCTTAATAAATTTTGAGGAACCTGCCCCCCGACCTGTCAGATTGAGTTATCTTTACTCTAAGTTTTCCCATTCTCCTTAATTCCCTGCATACCTTCGGGTATCCAGGCGGGCGATGAAGATACTGTAATCCACTACTAAAGACTACGGCGTTGGCTCTATATCTTCAAAGATATCCATTTGATAATTTAGTGAGGGACATCTTTCATGTTTTCTGTATACTGATTCAGTTATCCTTGCTACATGTGTTATGTCTTTCTGTATTTCAGTCTGGACAGATGTTTCCCCCTGCTATCCTTTTAGATTATCACCCTCTTGCTGCTTACTGTAATGATGTGCTGTCAGCCTTTAATGAACTGCGGCTGTGTGCTCCCATATCCCTGGCCTGTGACATTGCTGAAGTCCTCCAAGAATCACTGCTACAGATTAGCCGCATAACATTGGCTTATTACAGGTTTGTGATGTTACAGAGTCACTGTCATGATTTGTTAATGAGACACCTAAGTGCTGGCTGGACAGTGAGACAACTAAATTTGTGGTTGGGGGATTGTGAGATGGATAAACCGTCTCCACTAACCTTGTTTGTTTTATTTGTTTTGCTGGATCCCATCAACATCGAGGGTCATTTTAAGGTCTCATTGTTGTAGTTGCTGGATACCAGCATACTTGAGGTTGATTGTGTGTCATTCACAGTACATCAGAACAGACTAGTCCACTTCTCAGCTTCCTAAGAAACCCAAACTGCCAGGAGCATGTTGAACCTACACACTTCAATCTTCACTTGAGGTTGTGTAATCTGAGCTATTATTGGCCTGACCTTATTATCTTATATGTTGTATGTCAGACACATTTTGTTTCATGTTATGATGTCTGATTTGTTCATAGTGAAACAGAAGGTAACAATTTAAGATATGAATTTGGACAGGAGTTATTTCAATATAAAGACTGAATATCAAATACACTTTGTCATGCTACATATGGGAAATCAACAATTACATAGAGATTCAAACTGGATCTAAGGTGTAAAGAATTGGTTGTCATATGTCTTCTTTTGGTCTTTCAATGTTTTTACTTTTTATTTAACTTATTTTGTTCATCTTCAATGACAGTTACAGGAATGTATTTGAGGTTATTATCTCCCTTAGACCAGTTTGTGACGTACATGAGTCTTGTGTTCTTTGGACAGTGAGACAGAGATTATTTACAATACTCTAACTTAAATGATTATCTACTTACTTATTTGAAAAATCCTGTAATTGATTAATTTTAATATTTGTCTTACTATTAGGGCTGAGGAGTCGACCTTTGACCCCAGGGAGAAGGACCATTTTTGTCAGTTTTGTCAAGTGTATGCCACTGACCTTCTGCCCTATCTCAACAAATGTTTGCAACAGTTATTCCCCCCTGTCACACTGGCTCAGATACTTGGCGTGACTCTTTCCGACCTTAACAAGATGGTAAGTTTTTTTTGGAAGTTTGATATTTTTTCAATATGGACCTATTTACAAACATATTACAACTTCCCAAAACCACATGCATTCACCTTGCATATTGTGGGATGACCTTTCTTAGATTACCATAGCTGTAGGTAGGGTGTTGCAGGATATAACATCAAAACCAGTCTACTGCAGCTATTAATCTGAGGACCAAATTTTGATTTATTTACTCTTAGGTTGAGATAATGATCCTTCAGTAGAAAGTCTCTCAGATTTTTGTGTGTGGATATTGGGTACAGCATATATTGATGACTTGTAGTCTTGGTAAACAATAGAAAAAGACTTTAAGATTAACAAGTCAGGCCATATTCAGCCTTGTAGTCTTGGTAAACAATAGAAAAAGACTTAAGATGAACAAGTCAGGCCATATTCAGCCTTGTAGTCTTAGTGAACAACAGAGAAAGACTTTAAAATTAAAAAGTCAGGCCATATTCAGCCTTGTAGTCTAAGTGAACAACAGAAAAGATTTTAATATTAACAAGTCATGCCATAGTAATTACATAGCAGGTTTATCCTGATCATCACTGTAGCTGACTACATCCATGGACTTCTGTCTGTTGACAGTAGTTATCTCCCTTCCTACAATTGATAAATCTCCTTAATTAGTACCACACATTTTCATGTGTCTGCTTTATTTAACATAGATGTTTGAAGGTTAGTACAATCTACAACAAAATTTTATTCCATAAACTACTGAAACTGAGTAGGTAGCATATATGTAACTTAATATATCAGTTTCTTAATATAAGCATTCATGAAGACAAGAGTCCAGGTCGTGTCTTATGTTAAATATACATTATTTGTGCATGAAATATTTTGAAAAACTGTGAATTAACATTTCCATATTGCCAGTCAGCAACATCAACTTTTAACAATATTGAAACGAAATCACTATTAGTAAAGCACATTTTTTCATCATAATCTCTATGGTTACAGGGCAGTCTGGGACTCGTGGATATTTTAGCAGTCCTTGACCCAATTTCCCATTTACTACCTCAGAAAGAAGATAGGATTTCTGACCAGTTGGATACCAATGTTGGCACAATAACCCAGTCAGTTCAGGATAGTGTTACAAAAGACAACCAAATAGAATCAATCAGTTTATCAAAAGATACTATGAAAAGTGAACAAGCTTCCTCTACAAAAATACCTGGCAAATCAGAATCTGAAATGGATGTCACTCTAAATTTCACAGACAGTTCAAAGTCATCTTTAGGTGTAATGAAGGATTCAGCTGGCCCATCGGATTCAGATTTACTCGGTGAGATAAAGGACACGAGCGTTGAAGAATCTGCTCCTAAGGTTACATTTACTGCTGGAGATGGAGATAGTGAGGACAATGATGATACATCTCTCACTGTTCCTACGGAAAATCAGGACAGCTCAATAGGTTTAACATTGGATCAAGTAGGGAAAAAGGATGATTAAGGGAAATTACTAATCAGTGGCTCTAGAAGAAGGTTTGATATGTGTATTTATACGGTGGTGTATGAAAGACTTTTATCTAAATTAAGTTTCATTAGTCTCCTGTTGGTGAAACCAAAGGGGACTATGGTTTTCCTCTGTGTCTGTTCATCCCTATGTCTATTACAAAGCTTGTCAGCTCTCAATTGGCTTTATTCCTTGAGGGATTCTCATCAATCTTCACACGTTTATTAAGCATCAAAATATCTCAGACAAGTTTGAGGTTTAATGCTGTTGGGTTAAGGTGAAGATTACTGTTACTATTTTTAGATAATCATTGTTAGCACTTTAATAGGTCTACTTCTTGAGGTATTCTCAAACTTTCCACTCTATTTAAGCTTCAAAATCTCTTAGACAGGTTGGTGAGAGTATCAGGGTTGTTGAGTCAAGGTCATTGTTTCTATTTTAAGATAATCATTGTCAAAGCTTCAGATGCTTCACTCCTTGAAGGTTTTTAAAACTAAAAGCAGTACAGACTTTTAAACCACTTAGTTGCCTAACAAGTTTGAGTTTCAAGGTCTAAGTCGCCATATTTATTTATGAGCACATATTCGATGTCCTGTAAGAAGTCTAGACGCTGAGTCAGAGATACAAATATTACTTCATTGTCCCATCATAAACCCGGTACATTTGAGTTTCTGTGTTGTGTGTCCTGAAAGCTTTTCGCCATCTAATGTTCTTATGAACTTGATACATATAAATCTATGAATCTATCAAAGACACTGATGGTATTCCTTAAACTTCAGAGATTTGTTAGAATGTTTAAACATTGGTTATCGGGGGACTTGTCTGTGATATATGTTAATTACAGAATGTGAAATTGATGACGATGATCATCAGTATAAATACATTGTACCTAGATTTAAGTACATATTTGAAAAAGAATCAAAATTCTGTAATATGTTTGTTTCTTTAAGACTTTGAGAATGTTTAGATTTAAGCGTAATATATGGTTGACATATTTATGGAATTTATTTTAAGATTTAACAACTATGAACAATAAAAACAGAGGACAAACAGTGTGTAATGTTTTAGTTTGTCTAAGTACAGATGTAGATAAATAACTTTGTTTCATGTTCAAGCTATTTACAGAGCCAGCATTTTGCTCTGATTGTAGCTCAAGAACAAATTTACCATGAATTTAAATCACATGAAAATGTACTTCAGTGTATTCAAACCAGACATACAATATCTTTAACTGCCCTAAATGCACAATAATAAAACATAAAAAGAACACATTTGGACAAGAATTGAGGTTGTCCTAACAACATTCCATCAACACATACAAACTTACGGAAAAGAAGTTTGATTTATGTAAAACATCTACTGCTGTCTTACTAAGCTCTAAAGATGTTAAATTGAATACAAGATGGTGGGGGGAGGGGAGTTATTGGAGGATTGTAAAAAGTTTATTTCTGTTTTGAAAACTATTAATATGAAACTACAGGCATTACTTATCAATTTTACTGTGTCATCTCTCAATCTTTACGTTGTCCCAGAATAAATCAGGAATATTATTTATTGCCCATATAATTCTTTAACAGAATCAAAGAAATTGGTATTTATAAACTGAATGCAAGTCCTTGGCTCACAATTGTTATTTTAGCTATGCCATCTGAATAATCATTCTTGCAAATATTGGCTTGAATTGAAAATATACAAGGTGTGCTGATACGGTGTGAGAAATATTCATATAGAATTTATAGTACAGATAAATGACACACCTTTATGGAAACATATGGCATATTGGAAGATCTTTGGCCAACAAAACAATCTTTGAGTTTTATCAATTACAAGTACATGTGACCATGCAAGTAACGACATCAGAGGCGTAGCAATAATGTATGCTTGTATGCTTAAACATACACTCGAATTCCATTGAGATATATTTGCCCTACTTTTTTAACCTTACTGCGCCCCTAAACCCCCTTAACCGGGGCTTCGCCCTTGGATCCTCTCTTGAAAGCATACACTCTTAAAAATGTTTTGCTACGCCACTGGACATTCATGATTTAAATACTACATGTATTAGTGCCACCATTCTGTAATATTTAAGTTCCAATGATCAAGAAATGACAGCAGTTTTTAGGTCATCTGGGCCGCGGGGTCAGAACGACCATTTGTCAGGGGTTTCCCCCAACGTCGTCCACTATCTGCCGTACATCAACTACTCACATTTTAATCATCTCAAGTTCCATAAGTTTGATTAAAATCAATCTTGTCTGGATTGATCATTAGGTTAAACCAAGTATTGTTTTTGAACCAGTGATAAACAACATGGCTCCCTATTGGTGCAGTTAACCTGGATACTAGTATAGATGCAATGTTAACATAAGAAGACGTTACGTTTTGGCCTCATCAGTGCCATTGCTGCCATTTGCAATGTTGTTGCACTTCCATGATTTTTCTGAACAGCATCAATTTTAAACTTCTCAAATTCTATAATTAGGGTTCAACTCAAACTTGCCAATAAATGATCCTAAGACGGTCTGTCTGAGAGTTATTTTTTCGCCGCCATTTTGATGTCATGAGTCGAAAATTGGTGGGGATGTGGACGAAAGGAAGCTGACAAAGCGTTATTTTCAGCCTTCCCAGAATTATGATATATGGCATCAACTGAGATGATTTTGTTACATAATCGCCCATCACAGTTTTAAATACTCTTAAAAAAGTGAAGAGGCGAGAGCTGAAGGTGACATTAAGGTGACATATATTATATGAAGCTTACTGGATAGTTGAATGTGTAAAACACCATCCACATACATTATAGTTACAACAGAAACGATAAATATTTCATATAAAATTATCGAAGGATATAGAACAGAAAGCATGGATGCTATTTGTATAGACCTGCCTATTTAAAATTTGTTAATAACTTCATATTATACTATGTTAAAAAAATGTTGGTATTTTCATACAATTCTTGTATAATTTTTCTATATTTTCTTTGATTTCTCTGGATATTACCGTTTTTAAAGTCTACAGATTATAAATCTAAAAGGGTACTGACATTGTCTGTTTATTTGACTTCTAGACTTTGCATTTATGAAGTCATATGATCTGCAACAGAATCACGAAGTATGATTTAGACTTGTAACAAGACTTTTAAAGTTTTGCATGGCTATTATATCTAGCACAATTCAACTGTGTTCTTATCTGTAGTTTTAATTTTCCAGTTCACTGTTTTACACAATAGTTCTTAATTAAATGAAATATTTGTTAGAGAACAATACCACAATGTATGTATTGACTCGGTATTAAATATTCGATTCCCCAAATCCCTCTGTCGGGTTCTTCTCCACAGCTGGACTGCTACTGGCCAGTTGGCAACATTCCATTTAGGTTCACTCGCGCAAACAGGAGCTGCCTAAGTTTGATTTGTGGTGTTCACGACATTAGCTGTATAATGCCGAGTTGACCTTCATGGTCAATTGGTTTAAAAGTCATTAACATTTTGTACACTGAAACGAGTCTCACACACATGCTTATCAAAAAAATTTTAAAAGATTATTAAGCTTAGCTACTATTTGGAGACAGAATTCAAATTCGTTCACAAAAATTGAATAAAACATGTTTTAATAATGTTTGGCCGTGATATTAATTTCTAGAAAATAAAGACACGTGCTATTTCAGTACGTCAGCACGAATCTGACGTTGTGTACGTAATATATTGCTATAATTGTACTACAAGATTAACAGGAATCTACTATGTAGGACGTCTGATTCCTGTGGTACAGCCATGTGGTTAAGGTAGTGACAAGTTCGTTGTATTGCAAAAAAAGGAGTGCAGGACAGACGTCTTACTTACTGCAGCAAAACTGAAAACTGAGAAGAATTATGTTTCAGGAGAAATTGTTGGCTAAAGTCGTCGGTGAAAAAGGAAAGGGGCTAGGGATGATGGTCTAATAGTGGTATTTGTGACTTTAAACATGTGGTTGTCTATGACAAGACATTAATTTGTCTTTATTCGTTACTGTAAAACATATATTCCTTTCTGATCTTGTCATTTCTTTATTATTTTGACTTTGATTTTTCACTTGGCTCTTCAAATTCATGAAATAGAGATCAGTATTTAACAAAGGGTTGGAAGAATGCTTTGCCCCTCCTGCAGTCCATGCTGATCGGATTTTGACCTTGAAGTAGACCACAACCGATACAAAAAGTCATTTAATATCTCACAGTCCTAGATCTACACCATTTTAATGACATAGACAGACGAGAACAAATGGCATGCCTATTGTTTTAGTCAGAATATACCAGAACAGCATTTCATGTGTATTTTTATCAATATCAAATCCCTTTGTTATAATCAATAGCCCGTGTCGATATTGACAAAATAAAGGCTAAAGTTTGGTGGGTATCGGAGATTAATTTAACGTTTTATGATTTAAATCAATGATTCCTGTTTGCACACGTAAGACGACCATTAAAAATGCTTACGACGACAAAACGATTGCCGATCTATAGTTCTGGTACTAGCATTAACTCCAGCCCTCTGTGTGCTGCACTGTTATTACACGTTGTGTAATAACGACAGAATTAAGTATCACTTATTACTATCATGGCATCTGTAAACATTTAGTCTTTAGATAAGGGCATGAAAAACGGACATGGTTATTATGACGTCATACTTGTAAACATGGGGACGGTGACAATAATACACGTATGAATTTGATATAAACTACGAATTTTGATTTGTATTCATATTTACTTAAATGACACATATTTGACGTTAAACATACAGCGCGCTGAAGCGGTGCTGAGTCTTATATTGACAAGGTCATTTACATCAACTATAAATGACACGTGTTTGATGTTAAACATACTGCGCGCTGACGCGGTGTTCTGTCTTATCATACTGACTAGGTAATTTATATCAGACATACTGCGCGCTGACGCGGTGCTGTGTCTTATCATATTTACAAGGTAATTTATATAAGCTATGAATGTCACGTGTTTGACGTTAAACAGAGCGCTGACGCGGTGCTTTGTATTATTATATTGACAAGGTAATTTATATGAGCTATGAATGACACGTGTTTGACGTTAAACATACTGAGCGCTGACGCGGTGCTGAGTCTTATATTGACAAGGTCATTTATATGAGCTATAAATGACACGTGTTTGACGTTCAGCATATTGCGCACTGACGCGGTGTTGTGTATTGTTATACTGACAAAGTAATTTACATCAACTATAAATGACACGTGTTTGACGTTAAACATACTGCGCGCTGACGCGGTGTTGTGTCTTTATCATATTTAAAAGGTAATTTATATCAGCTATGAATGACACGTGTTTGACGTTAAACATATCGAGCGCTGACGCGGTGCTGTGTATTATTATATTGACAAGGTCATTTATATCACCTATGAATGACACTTGTTTGACGTTAAACATACTGAGCGCTGACGCGGTGTTGTGTCTTATCATATTTAAAAGGTAATTTATATCAGCTATGAATGACACGTGTTTGACGTTAAATATACTGCGCACTGACGCAGTGTTGTGTCCTATCATGCTGTCAAGGTCATTTACAGGAACTATACATGCCATAGCAAGAAAAATGCAATGGTTGAACGCCTGGCATTCACACCTTCATGAAGGTGATTATCAAATAGTTTGATTATATATCAGATTAATTCTCCCATTTTGTTTTTTTAATAGGTTACTGAAATATTTTGCATAGAAGTTGGTAACTTATCAATTAATATCAGAATGAGAACATTCGGGAGTCCTGTTTTGATTCCAGGTGTTTGGTGTGTGAATGTTGGTCTATGTAATTGTAAATAACTCCAAGTTAAAATAGTCATTGTTTGGAAGCTGACCTGTTTTAACATGCCGCGGTCCGTGGTGATTGTAAATGAAGTGTGTGTTACTGAACAATCAGACTTAAATACCCTCTGCATCTGTACATTTAAAGAGATTATACGTGTGATTAAAATTGTATGGCGATATAAAGTTATATATATATATATATGAACTAATTACGATTAGTGAACTGCAGGCGACGTTAGAATTGGAAATGAAAATGATTCTTTTTTTACTTCGTCCTCGGCATATAGAATTAAACTTTCTTACGGTACAGAGACAAAATTATCATCTATATATCGAGACACCCCCTCCATATCCCACCTTCCACCAGCGACACCCCCTCCACATCCCACCTTCCACCAGCGACACCCCCTCCATATCCCACCTTCCACCAGCGACACCCCCTCCACTTTCCAGTAGCGACACCCCTCCACATCTCATCTTTCACCAGCGACACCCCCTCCATATCCCACCTTCCACCAGCGACACCCTCTCCACATCCCATCAGCGACACCCCCTCCATATCCCACCTTCCACCAGCGACACCCCCTCCATATCCCACTTCCAGCAGCGACACCCCTCCACATCTCATCTTTCACCAGCGACACCCCCTCCATATCCCACCTTCCACCAGCGACACCCCCTCCATATCCCACTTCCAGCAGCGACACCCCTCCACATCTCATCTTTCACCAGCGACACCACCTCCCCATCCCATCTTTCACCAGCGACACCACCTCCACATCGCACCTTCCAGTGGCGACACCCCTCCACATCCAGACTTCCACCAGCAACAACCCCTCCACCTTCCGGAGCGACACCCCCTCCATATTCCACCTTCCAGCAACGACACCCCTCCACATCTCATCTTTCACCAGCGACACCACCTCCACATCCCATCTTTCACCAGCGACACCACCTCCACATCGCACCTTCCAGTGGCGACACCCCTCCACATCCAGCCTTCCACCAGCGACAACCCCTCCACCCTCCATCAGCGATACACTCTCCACCTCCCATCAACGACACCCTTCCACCTCCCACCAGCGACACCCCCTCCACATCCCACCAGCGACACCCCCTCAACATCCCACCAGCGACAGCCCCTTCCAACTTCCAGTAGCGACACCCACTCCACATTCCACCTTCCACTAGCGACACCTACTCCACATTCCACCTTCCACTAGCGACACCCCCTCCACATTCCACCTTCCACTAGCGATACCACTCCACATCCTTCCTTCCACCAGCGACACCCACTCCACATTCCACCTTCCACCAGCGACACCCCCTCCACATTCCACCTTCCAACAGCGACACCCACTCCACATCCTTCCTTCCACCAGCGACACCCACTCCACATTCCACCTTCCACTAGCGACACCCCCTCCACATTCCACCTTCCACAAGCGACACCCACTCAACATCCTTCCTTCCACCATCGACACCCCTTCAGATCCTTCCTTCCACCATCGACACCCCTCCACATCCTTCCTTCCACCAGCGACACCCACTCCACATCCTTCCTTCCACCATCGACACCCCTTTAGATCCTTCCTTCCACCACCGACACCCCCTCCACCTTCCACCAGCGACACCCCCTCCACATTCCAACAGCGACACCCCTCCACCTTCCAACAGCGACACCCCCTCCACCTTCCACCAGCGACACCCCCTCCACCTTCCACCATCGACACCCCTTCATATCCCTACTACCACTAGTCAATCCACCGTCTCTCCTTTTCCTCACCTGTATATAGATGACGTCTGATAAGAACAGTTATTTACCGTTATGCATTGACACAATAAAAAATAACTTAATAAAATGTATTTTTTTCTAGGTTTTATCAGGAACATATTTTGGTCGCGTTGTACTGTACATAAATAAATGACTCAGTTTGGTTAATGTTACACAGTCTTTATCAAAACACTTGGCACGATACTTGTCACTATATCAACACATTATTCATTTACGTACAATCATAATGTACGTTTTTATGAAGATTAAAGTTAAAAGTCTGTGTTAATGTTTTTGACAACTTAAGGCAATATAAAGGTATTTGAATGACACAGTAAAGGAAAAAATATAACATGCTTGAATATCTTGCAAACCTCTGTACCATAACATCGATTCATCGTGATAAAACATACCACGGCGTCAATGCATCGTGATAAAACATACCACGGCGTCAATGCATCGTGATAAAACATACCACGGCGTCAATGCACCAAGAAAACCTAGAATCCGAAGACGATGCGAAACCCATTGAGCCATAGAAAAGAAAAGAAAAACAGGAGACAAAACTGTGGTTGTGTGATGCAAAAACAAGCATGTTTTCTGTAAGGACAATTGTAGACTGCCAGATACAGAGTATAATTCTCCAAACATAGACCTAAGGAAGGAAAAATACAAAACTTGGGCTTTTTTTAGGAACGGCAAACATATCTATTCATATTTGTAAAACAATAATTTATGCTGAGAAATCAAACGATAGGATGATAGGATAAAAAAGACTAATATTATTTATAGTTAACGATTGTTTAAAGGACTGTCAATAAATTAATTGAAAGAAATTTTAAAAGTATGATGGAGTGAGAAAACACGTAGTTTAGAATTAGAGTCTAAAACACGTTATGATGTAATGGGCGCAGTAAGGTTTTGTTCCATTTCCGATCATTAATGTTATACAATATAATCTAAATTTGATCTAATCGATTCCAATTTGTGATAGGATCGATAATCGATGATCCAGATACAGGTATATCGAATTTCATTATCAGATCACAGTTTTAATAAGTCTGAAGAAGTTAACAAGCATGATTGGAAAAAAGTTCAGAATTTTAGTTGTAGGAACATGCGGCGAAAATATCATGATATCAGTTGTGTTTTCAGTAACAAAAAAGACAATGTTAGGACATTACTACATAATCATGTTGGATACGGACAACATATTGTTTTAAACAATAACCCCAAACATAATCCCACGTCGCTGTCGACAGAGAACCAAATGCATTCAACCTCGCAGAGGTTGAAATATGATCGGATCCAAGATTGACGAATCAGCGGTGTTTATTTCGCTTTGATTAACATGGCACAATACGGAATACCTCGATCAAAGGAATAGATACAATTCTTATTCATTATGTAAGCGTTCATTTTGTACTTTGGTCTGGAACTTTGTGTTATTGTAAAGATTAATGTACAATTTTAAGCGGCATTCAGTAAAACAGCCAAAATAGTGTTTGGTCAATATAGATTTGGCAGGCATTATACAACGGTGATTATATCGTTATTACTCGGAGTAAGGAAAATTCACAAAAAAAAAAACAAAAAAAAACTTTGTAGGTTGTTTTCAGTTATATTTCATGCCATGCATATAAAATGTGCATGGAATTAGAACAAAAAAGCTATTTATACTACATTTATTTCAACATTCATTTGTATTTTCGAACTTGTCAAATCATAACAAAATGTGGCAGTTCTGTAATCCTGTCCTATATACTTATTGCACTATTCCGGGGGTTCGAGGCAGACTTAAATACAATTGTTCTAAAGCTTATTTTAATATGCCAAAACCACTTAAGTTTTGGCACTATCATTTTTCCTACGATGCTACTTTTCAATTTTTCCCGACTCATTACACAGTCTTTCTACCATCGATGAACGCACAATAAAGTTTTTTTCATAGTGAAAATTACAAGGAGTTCAAAATAAATTGATTGAAAAGAACTTTGCAATCACCCAGTAAGTCCGCCATTCTGGGAAATATCAAAAATATTATTTTCAGGGTTTTCCATTTTAAATTCCGACCGTATTATTCTACAATACATCAGTATTGCCTTTCTATTAAGGCCCGTCACATTTATTCAAAATAGGCCATGATTCAACTCACTAGACCAGTTTGATTGTGAACTCTGAAGTTTTGGATTTTGAGGTCCGGTCCTCGCAATTTGCAATTTTATTCGAGAGATATACGTTATACTTGAACAAGATATTTGTGGTGGTTGTCCGATGAAATGACGAGTAATAAAACTGCTTGACATACATGTATATTTCTAATGGCTGATTTCTGTATTCATTGAAAGATAGAGTAATATTTACAAGGTGTGCACGTTCCCGCCACAATGTGATAATCCTGTCATGTTCTGACTTATCTTGGCGATGTATTTTTCCCCACACACGTTTTTCTTTTATCTCGCTTTTGTCTAAGAATAATAAAATGATAACGATAAACTAATACAGCATGTCATGAAATCCTCTTTTTTATTTTTATTGTCAATTAATTACATCGTTGAAATGGTAAAATACGTTAGCCCTTTTGTTTTCCTTATCCTCCTCCTCCTCGAATTCGTGTCTTAGACCTCCTCCCCCTCCCCTAGTGTTACCAGGGAGTCCTAGGACCACGATATAGCTGTGTGATGCAGTTTGATTCATAACTGTTTTAAACAGTTCTAAGTTGTGATTGAAAACCACTGCTCACTTGTCTCTTTTTAAAGTCCTTTGATAACTCCAAATGTTCTCATTTCCAATATCTTTTTAATCTGATACTATAATGATAATTCTAATTGGACGTGTCGCTTTAAAGTGACAAAAAGGAGTAATGCATTGATAATCTCATTGAATTTAAACTCAAACCAAAGTAATTAAACATTGTTTATTATAAAAGAAAGAGACGATACTGAACTATTTTGGAGACTTCTGTATGACACGGTGATTAAAACCAGAGGACGATTAAACTATTTCTAATTGAACATATATATTTCTATAGAAAAATCAGCATTGTGATATTTTGATTTAAAAAGCCTAGTTTTTTTACGTTATTAGAGCATGTTAACGATCCATTCAAATGCGCCTCGTAAACCTAATAGGCTGGACATCTCTCAGATGTAAGCCATTTTATAGTGTGTTAAAAGCTCACCATGATACTACTGCACTCCGTGCGACTGGTACGAATTAAACTTATGGTGGTTATTTATAGAGTTAAAACATTAAAGTCTTTGTTGAATTCGATCAGCTATCTAAACAAACGGTGATTAATTTTGTATCAATAAAGCAGACTTTCGATTTCTCGGCATGTTAATGAAATTGTTTTTTTTTAAAAATAATCTTACCTGGATAACGAAATTTCTTCAAATGTAATAACGATTATCAAACAATTACCCAAAGCGATATCGATTTCTGATACAATTCCTGGATATTAAACTTGGCATTCGTCAAATATCTTGAAAAAAATTCCCAGAATTTCCATACCCATGTGGATTTTCTAAATTATTCAATGACCGACGAGCTCTTCATTTACTTTCACTTTCACTTTAACTTTTTACTTCACATTTCAAATTAGTGGATATTTACACTATTGGGGATACTAGCAAATAGTTTTAGTCTTATTTATATGTAATTCTTCAATACTAAACTTGGCATTCGTCAAATATCTTGAAAAAAATTCCCAGAATTTCCATACCCATGTGGATTTTCTAAATTATTCAATGACCGATCAGCTCTTCATTTACTTTCACTTTAACTTTTTACTTCACATTTCAGATTAGTGGATATTTTCACTATTGAGGAAACCAGCAAATGGTTAGACTTCTTTATATGTACCTCAGTGTAACATCTGATTACATCACCTCTTGGAACAAAAGAGGCCTGCAGAAATACCCAAAAAAAAATCATGAGATAATTACAAATTGACACATTTTTTTTAAAAACTTTTATTTAAAAAATGAATTCTCACAAAACATGAACACATTTGGAATGGTGGTATGGTAATATTACACACCCATTTACTCTGCTCAGTCATTCAAAAACTATCTCAATCTACTTTAAGTAATTCTCGATTAACATCAAATTATTCTCGATCTACATTAACTCTTTCTTTATTCACTTTTCAGACACATCTTTTCCAAAAATATCTTATATGTCAAGGTCTACATATGAAAATAGCATCATTAATCTGTCGGTAAAGCACACAGGCCTTATACAGATGATCACTTGTAAGCAACGGTTCATAAAATGTGTTAATCAAGTGGTTACAAACCTAAGATTGTGTGACTAATTTATCAACTATTAAAGTAGCCATGATTGCCTTTCATTCCTCAACTCTCACATTTACACTTGTAGCACAGTCACACTATTTAAAAAGCCAACTTCTTCACTAACAGGTACACATGAGAATCCACTTCAAACCCGTGTAAATTGTTTGCGTCCCCTTGCAGTCTCATCAGTAGTCCACCGTACGACACGTAAGCAGCTCTGCAAAGAACAAAAATACTGTTATCAGAAGCCATTTCTCAAGAACCATTTTCAATCTGCAATTACGGCTATGCCACTCACACGCATACCACATCAATGACAGCATATCCTATCAAAAATATCTTCCTTACTTAGACCATTCATATTGATAGTGTTGATTTTCACATCAATGTTGAGAAGACTTAAGAGTTCATATAGGAAAGAGGCACGAGATATGGAATGTGCTATTTGGGGCTGATGTCTCGAACAAAGAGCAAGTTTATGAAATGGAATTATTTGACTTCGTGATTTAAACTTGTGTTAATTATGACGAGATATAATGAATGACGACAAAAACTGACTTTTGTCATTTTCTAATGATTGTTAATGATCTGTCCTGTTATTTATATTTGAAATCACACTATTTTGATTGAAATCTTTGACTTGATGAAAATGTCTGATGATAAAACGACATGAGATGATCAATACCAACTTAATTTTCCTGATAATGACTTAAGAATGATGACATGAATGTATGAATGATTTAGAGAGATGTGTCATAAAATAACAAAATTATCAAATTTTTCCTTACACATCCATCGACGTCATCCATACATCCATTTTGTTTGACTGACTATTATGACCAGATATGAATAAAAGTTAATGAGAAAGTTTGCATAATAATGACCGAAATTGGCCGAATTAGAGTATGGTTTCACGGGAGTGCAAATAGTGGTTGTTCCATTGTTACCATGACAACCAGCTAACCACACTGCCACAAAAACACACCAATCAGTATCTTTGGAAGAAAAACATCCAAGGAAATTTGTATGAGATTTGATGATTGGCAGAATACTGACCAATAGAAATAAAAGATAACCTGAATGCCTGGATGGATGGTCGAATGGAAGCTGGTTGATAGTTAATGGATGGATGGATGGATGGATGGATGAGTTTATAAAACTTCAAATATGATCATTCAAATAAAAAAATATCCAACTGCTTAAAACGTAAATATCTAGCCATGTAGATTTATTGACTTGCATAGCAGAAAATATTAAATTACTATACGACAACGTTTTTAAATACATACACATAGTTAAACAAGTTACAAAAAACAAGACTGTACAGAGGTTAGTTACGTGTATACAAAGTCTATCAATCAATACAATATCTTTCTGAGGTTGTCGATATGAAATTTCGTCCCAGGAAGAATACTGTTATTGACCGAAGTATTACAATTACATTACGAAATATGGGTAAAACATGCAACTAAATAGAATTAGAGTCCAGCAGTTGTTAATTACCCATCATGCACTGTTAACAGGTGGGTCAGAGGTCACAGGTCACAAGTGAAGGTGAGAGTGCGTGGTATCCACGTGACGACAGAGGTCAGGTGACTGGCCTGGTCCAATCACATACCAGATTATGCATTTACAGTTACTATTTAGATTGTAGAATGCACAGCTGGTAGTGATTGTACACAGATTCTACGTACTACTAAACTCTCCGTGCCCGACTTTGTTGTCTTCATTCACAATTACATCAAAAGGTAGATTATTGTTTTGAATATTTAAATATTGTATTACTAAGGATCGATCAATAATGAATGCGACAGGTGCGAGAAAATGGTGTGCAGAATTTGAAATGAAAGCTAATTCATACATTATTAATTTTAGAATAATAACTTGACCTCCTCTCTCATTTACAATTTTGGCACAAGGTGATTAACTGGCCTCTTCTCTCAATATCGTTATTGACATACGTAAAGTTTGAAGTACGTACATTCCAATGTTATAGGAGTCCGTTATGTTGGACATTATAATTTTAGGATATTATCGGAATTCGTCAATAAATAATGCCAAAATTGTCAGATAATACATTGTACACGCATGCAGCTAATTTGCATAGACATTCACATTTTTTATAGCAAATGTATATGAACGGTTAGATCTCTGAGAAAAGGCACAGTGAATTTTTGATGTTCTCGTACTTACGAGGCGTTTGTATATAAAAGATACTAGTAATTTCATTTCATAAAATTTTGAAATTTCAACCGTTCGGTCCACATGAGCTATAATGTAACAGTTCGTTTTAATTTACCTTCATAGATAGACCACATACAGTGTTAGTCAGCATGCTAGTTAGGAGAGTATATCAAAGTCAACAAAGTAGCATTTCCAATGATAAGTATCGTTCACTCCAATGTTGAGTTCAACTTTGTATGTGAGAGAATACGATGTTATTGGAAACAATACTTATCGCTACGTATTACAATAAAGATACATATGTGGTGCTATATTATGTAATGCAGACTGATACATATTATATAATAACACTACATGTTAATACAGTAACACAATAAAACTGCACACATTACTAGCAACAATGATGTCATGCAATACTCAAAACAGGCAGTTTACATCAAAATAATCTGTCACGAACAAAAATAAAATTATTCATAAAACACAGCTTGTTCAGATAAGCCATTCTACAGTTAAGTCAAAACAATGAAATGAAATGTATTGTAACGAAAAAACACCCATTTATTCCTTAAATAATACCTTTTTAACAATGTATGCAACGAGTGTATTCTTACAAATGTTTGAAAATTAGTACAAGAATATTTTGTGTCTGAGTTTTAATTACTAGCTTGAACTTAAATACGGGTTATTCAATTAATGAAAAGAGTTAAAATGATCGAGACAACTGATTTTATGAATATGTGGAATGTGACAATGATTTCGACATAAATGATTAAAAAGTGGACTACGGTTTGTCAGATGGGGTATCATTCATTCTAGGGCGGTAAAACAATGTCCCGATATCTTCACGCTTCAACCTGCCACCGACACAACCCTAGGCAATAAAATACGTGCACGTAGGCCGAAGATCAATGATCTGTAACGCTAACACTAAAGTGGATTTAAGGAAGCTTAGACATAATGAACAAACTATTAAATACCTTTAATACTTTCAACTTACAACAAGCCCGTCATTGCATTATAATGTACTACAAAAGACCCAACATTGTATTACACAACCAGTAAATACACACGAGCGAAAATCCATTTAATACTTGAAGGAATGTTAAAGATCCTTAGTTCAATTTTTAAAGAAATCATAATATATAACAATTGGTTACTGAAACAGTCGCGCCAATGCCGACGAATTACTCCCACTGGGGATTAAACTACGGTTACATCGCAAGTCCCTGTGGCCTTGCCTTATTGGGTGAAACAAATAATTACCGCGCTTAGCAAAGTCATGTCTTCTCCTGATGATATCATGCAAGCATTGATTTTAAAAAAAATAATCCCGTTCTGTGCTACCTCATGTTCTACAGGTAGACACATGATCCGTCCTGTACAGCCAGATAGTGGGAAGTAAAATACATCCTTTAGGTGAAATAAAAAGCAGTTGAAAATGTGCATGCTTATCCACGACTTACTCGAGAAATTATTTTAAAGCAATATCATGGAATAAAATGGATTTAGTTAAAGGAAATCCCGTCATTATAATGATGACGTAAATTACACTATCGTGTCCACATTACTGTGAATGGCGAGTTATAATGGTAACCAATGTGACCGTCCCCCGACATTGTAGTACTATTGTCACACAAGTGTTGTCGAATTCTATATTCTATTTGTCATGTCTTTGTTATTCCACGTTCATTTCCTTGTTCAAACCGTAACAAAACATTTTTATTCCTGTTTTTAACAACGTTTTCGACGGAGGAAGTGTAATAGGTTACATAATGCTGTGTCGTTTAATAAGTCGAACTGGTTTTACCTTTTATATTCAGAGCTTACTTCACAACACGACAAAGAAAAGAATATCGGTATTTTGGCAATTCTCCAAATGATGTCACTGAGATTTGTTATCATTCTGTCCCGAGGTATGGGTGAAACGTGAAGTCAAACAGAAGGACACTACTAATATAACATTTCAGTTCAAAGTACAAGAGAGTAAATCTGATTACAGGGGTTGATTTATCTTATGTTATGTGCAACATCCAGATTTGATAAAAGTGAAAATATATCTTATCAAAGAAATTCTAAATATATTCTTACAACGTTATATGTATTCAACACTCTGAATATCCCGAATAATATTAGGTTTGTTTTTACACGTTTAGACATCTCGATTAAATCTTCTTCCAATTTGATTCCAGTGAAGCCATGAAAGTAATATGATATCAATTCCACATTGTCCGCATGAATTGATAGGAATTGGACCTTGTGATTAACTATTCGTAAACATATGTGATGCGTGGTTCATTAATACGCATCGATTGTCTTCCAAAAGGCGGAAGTTTGAGGGTTACGCAAAATGGTTGCAGTTACACGAGATCATCTAGATATACATTTACGTGGTGTGTCATTTGATTACAAAAACCTAAACCAGTAAAAACAACACAGTACATGGCAGATTATACGAAATGTCTAAATCATATAACGAGAAAAGTAATGACTCCAAAATTGGAAAGAAAGTATGTAAGGTCAAAGGTGAAAATTATAAATAGAGATCACTGTTTAAAAGATGAAGAAAAACAAAGTAAAAATATTTCAACCATATCATAATTGATAAACAATTTACAAAGTTTACAAAAAATGATGAAATAAATGAAGAAATGGTCACAATCATAAACATATTATTGAAACAAATCGTCTCAGAAACAATTAAAGTACAAAATAAGGACACATTAAACGTATTTAAATGAATAAAATAGACAAGATTATGATAAATATCTTTCCTGAATCAAAAAGCAGTCTTTGGCTCGGTTTACCTCTCACAGATTGTACCATGGTCGTTTCCTATACCAACTAAACGTACAAACTAGGACCTCTACTTAAACAGTCCCGCAGACGAGTGCTGAATCATCTGCTGGAAATCCACGCGATACCAGGTAAGTACGGGTCTATATATGTAGCTGATCTCAACGCCAGAAAGACTTCAGGTAGATATACCCCGCTCAGGATGTGTGTATACATAGGTATACATACACAATGTCAAGC